AAAGTGAATTTATTAATTGCTACACATTTAATCAAAACAATAAACAAATATCCCTTTAAAGCAACTGCTAACCTATTTGGTATAAAAATCACATGGCTAATAACTTATAAAAAATTTATTTAAATTTTTATTTTTAAGCTGTGCAATATTTTTGTCCTCCCGGTAATTAAATCAATTAGCATGATATGGTGAAGAGATCTGTATATACAAAAATTTCATTAACAATCGCGTCTTTGGGTGACTTCCGGATTAGATTTAATTATCGAGCTAACTTACAAGATTTCTTCAATATCTGACGAGAAGAAAAAAAATCGCACCATCATCCAATTTGTCTATATTTGCGATCTGATAATCGCGAAAAGATCTTGAGACGTTGTAATCTTCAACATTCCACTAAAACAGTGAAATGAATACAATAGTCAGTATTATTCCAAAACAAATGCAGAATCAGAACGATTAACTTACGTCTCTCTGTGAAAGGTAACTGCAGATATCCTGTCGTATCTTTAGATATGTTTTACATAACATCATATTAAATACGTCTTCATCCTTTGTATCGATTACCAGATCTTTTGAAGTAGAAGACTCTACTGGAATGACTAGGATATAGGACATGGTCAAGGTGGAGGACTCTTTTTCTTCGAATGTAACGGTTCTTATCTGTGTACACATGTGAAAGGTGAGAAGAATTTTTGTTGCGGGACAGTACATTAAAAAAAATTAAAATAAATTGCCTTATCTTCCAGTATACATGGTTGTTCAAGTCCTATCGCTTCATCACTTCTATTTGTTGAACAAAGCTTTTGGGGGTTTTGATCGTCTATAGTTTTGATAATCTTTAAAAGAATGCAAGAAAATTTTTTATCTATAATACTAAGCACTTTACCTTCGTAATTTTTGAAGCTACGTTTATGATTTTCTTTAATTAATTCGTGTCTTTTGTTTCTAATTGCATTAGCATGCAGGTTCAATTCCTTGCTCTGGTCGAGAATGTAATTGAGCTAATAGAAGAGAATTAATCATGACTCCTATAACATAAGATATCATATAGACAACAGCCAAAAAAACTTACATCTTCAGATTCAACTTGTAAAGTCTTTAGTTCATTTTGTACTTTGACATACTAGAGATCTTTCTGTAAAATTTGAGTTTTGCGACCATCCCAGAACTTCACAACTTCCGGAGAGCGTTTAATATCCTAGAAACTCAAGAACATAACAATCATTAATGGTTAATTTACTGTATACTCTCGAAAATAAGCATCCCTCAAAAATAAGCATCCCCATATTTATATATCCTTTAAAATTAAGCACCCCTGAACATTATATTAAATTTTATTAAATTCATATAAAAGAATATTATATTTACAAATAAAAGAGAAAAATAAGCTATATTACCTACTCGACATTGCTAATATTTTTTTTATCAGAATTACCATCACTAATACTTAAATCATCTAATGAATCGGATATATGACAAGTTTTAAAAGAATTTATAA